CGAATATTTTGGTAATAGAGATATTTTAATTCTGCAAAAGCCAGTTCACAGAGCACTAAGAGAGCTTTAATTTTAGATATAAACTAACTTTATATAGGCCAATATGTAGATGGCGCTGCGACCAATAATTTTTTTTCGTTGGAAGGATCTTCCTTATGTAGCGCATCTTGTAAAAAATGCATTTTTAAGCAGATTTCGTTCCATAAACAAATTCGATAAATCTAGCTATTTCTGATATACAGAGTGGGTCACTCAAAACAGTTTCATCCTGTTTTTCAGCATTATAATCATTGAACTTTAAGAAAATGCTAAAACAGATCGATTTTTATTCCAAATTAAAAACTTTTTTACACATACTTTGATTACTATACGGTGCAAAAGAGAGGTTCGACACGCCCAACATAGGGCGCGGCTATTTTGATTTCTATGCCACAGTTTATAGCTAAAGAATCAGATCGCTCACTCTGCGTTGGCACTTTTGATCTCAATGTTCCAGTTTATACACTGCGCAACTCGAATAATACAACATATGATAACCGCCTATAATAAAACAGCAGTGGAGTGGAGTGGATGTTATTTTGGAACTTTCAACTGGTCCGAGTGAGCTAACTGATTCTTTAGCAATAAACTGTGACTCCAAAAATAATATTCACTGACACTGACAGCAGCAAGTAAAATATCAGGTGCGTTTTAATCATCCGCTTAACATGTCAGATTAAAACAAGAAAACCGACAATTCCGAAGCAGAAGCGGATAATTAAAACGCACCTATTAAAAATATTGCGCCAAGATGTAGGCAACACGTAATAAGGGATCAAAATGGCGGAGTTTATCTCTTTTTAAAAGGCACTCAGAAAGCTGCGCAGTGCGACCATTCTCCGTATAGTAAAAGAAAATCAAAGTATGTGCTTTTCACTTTCTTATCTATATGTGTATGTGTGTGTGTGTGTGTGTGTGTGTGTGTGTGTGTGTGTGTGTGTGCGTGTGTGCGTGTGTGCGTGTGTGCGTGTGTGCGTGTGTGCGTGTGTGCGTGTGTGTGTGTGTGTGCGTGTGTGCGTGTGTGCCTGTGTGCATGTGTGCGTGTGTACGTGTGTACGTGTGTGCGTGTGTGCGTGTGTGCGTGTGTGCGTGTGTGCGTGTGTGCATGTGTGCGTGTGTGCGTGTGTGCGTGTGTGCGTGTGTGCGTGTGTGCGTGTGTGCGTGTGTGCGTGTGTGCGTGTGTGTGCGTGTGTGCGTGTGTGCGTGTGTGCGTGTGTGCGTGTGTGTGTGTGTGTGTGTGTGTATGTGTGTGTGTGTGTGTGTGTGTGTGTGTGTGTATGTGGGTGTGTGTGTGTGTGTGTGTGTGTGTGTGTGTGTGTGTGTGTGTGTGTGTGTGTGTGTGTGTGTGTGTGTGTCTGTATGTCGCATAACTCATGAACCGATACACAGAAAAACACCAAATTTTAAACTTAAGCTTTATTCCAGCGTATAATAAACTGATTTGATTTTGGGCAGAGTCGGAACATTTGGAGGGGTACTTTATAGGTAGTCATTTTTATATTTTATGGAATATATCTGTTATTTACGTTTGGAGAAGAAAATTCTTTAAATAAAAGTTACTTCTAATATAATTATCTATAATTTTTGTTCTATACAAAATTTTCCTAAAATGGTCCGTATTCGAGAAATTTGACAAAATGTAAAAAAATATTTTTTTATAAAAATTGTTTTAATAAAAGTTGTTTGTAATAAAATTATCTATAATTTTTATTCTATACATAATTTCTCTAAAATGGAGCGTATTCGAGATATTTGAGAAAATGTGTAAATTTCGAATTTTGAAGAAATCTCAAAAACGGATAAATAAAAAAACATTAAATTTTAAACTTAAGGTTTATTTCGGTCTGACGTGAAATGATTAGATTTTGGACAAAGTCGGAACATCTGGGGGGGTACTTTATGGGAGGCCGTTTTTATATTTTATGGAATATATGTTATTTATCTTTGGAGAAGAAAATTGTTCAAATAAAAGTTACTTCTATTATTATCTATAATTTTTGTTTTATGTCAAAATTTCCTGAAATGGTCCGTATTCGAGAAATTTGACAAAATATGCAAAATTCTGATTTTTATGAAAATTGTTGAACTAAAAGTTGTTTGCGATATCGATTTCTATAATTTTTGTTTATACACGATGTTTCTAAAATGGACCGTAATGGAAAAGTGGTAAATTTAAATTTTTCAGTATTTTCGGTTTCAATGAATATTTATAGAAACATGTTTCGAGGTAGATGTATGTGGACAATGTATATATTTAGTTTATCCTCTAAACATTTATAGAAATGCTGCAATAGGTTGTACAAAATAACCGGAAAAAGCCTATAATAACTATATAGGAAAGTCATGTGTTGGACACATCAGATTTTTTACAATACAGACATCTGTCATGTGTGAACCCCTTCCCTTGCACTTTACCAACACCTTAATTTTAAATAGGTAATGTACCATGTGTGGTACATCATTAAAATGGTAATTTAATGGGGAATTTAAAATATGATTGTTCATTGCGATACTTTTAATTGTACCGCCCTCTATCGGGATAAAAAAAACTACATATTATAAAGTGTGACACCTTATTTGAAAGCAAATTCAATTATTAATTTAATGCACTACATAACATTAATATAAATATCTTCCATATTGCACTTCCAATAGTTTGAAAATTAGTCATGCATTATTTTAAACACTATTATTGCTAACTTTATTTTGTTGCAAATGCAATATGAAAATATTTATATTAATGATATGTGATGCATTGAATTAGTAAATAAATTGGCTTTCAAATGAAGTGTCTCACTTTATAATACGTTACAGGTTTTTTATCCCGAAAGAGGGCGCTAAAATTAAAAGTATCGCAATAAACAGTCATATTTATGACTTTCCCATAAAATTACCTCTTTAATATTGTGCCGTACATGGTACATTCCTTATTTAAAATTAAGGGGTTGGAGAAGTGAAAGGGAGGGGGTTGACACATGACAAATGTCTGTACTGTAAAAGTGTGTTTAATGTGGAATAAAAATCGACCTATTTTAGCTTTTCCTTAAAATATAATGATTAATGCCGAAAAACAGGATGAAACTGTTTTGAGTGACCCACTCTGTATATCAAAAATGGCTAGATTAATCGAATTAGTTTATAGAACAAAATCTGCTTAAAAATGCATTTTTTACAAGATACGCTATATAAGAAAAATCCTACCATCGAAAAAAAAATATATTGAGCGCAGCGCCATCTACATACTGACCTATTTAAAATTATTTTATATCTAAAATTGAAGCTCTCTTAGCGCTCTATGAAGTGGTTTTTACAGAATTATAATATCTCCATTAGTTTCCAAAATATCCGGCCTGGGAGTTTTTATTGGTAAAATATAAAAAAGGCCTCTCAGATGTTCCGACTTTGTCCAAAATCTAATCATTTTACCTCAGGCCGATATACAACTTAAGTATAAAATTTAGTGTTTTTTCCGTAAACCGTTTTTGAGTTTTCTTCAAAATTGACATATTTTCTCAAATATCTCGAATATGGTCTATTTTAGCGAAATTATGTATAAAATAAAAATTATAGAGAATTATATTACAAACAACTTTTATTTGAACAATTTTTATAAAAAATAATTTCTTTTACATTTTTTCAAATTTCTCGAATACGCACCATTGTAGGAAAATTTTATAACAAAAATTATATAGAATAATATTGTAGGTAACTTTTATTTAAAGAATTTTCTTTTTCAAACGTAAATAACAGATATATTTCATAAAATATAAAAATGACCACCCATAAAGTACGCCCCAGATGTTCCAACTCTGCCCAAAATCCAATCAGTTGAATAGAGGCTGGAATAAAGCTTAAGTTTAGACACACAAACACACAGACATCATCGCGAAAATAGTCAAATCGTATTCAGGGGACCACAAAACGTAAAAAAAAACGTCAAAATCTCGAGGTCGAAAAAATCATGATTCCTATACTTTCCTTATCTGTTTACAGATAGGAAAGTAAAACGCCAGGAGGGGAACCGCCCACCTGCCCTCCCTCCGGATGCCCATGGTCATTGCCATGCTTCATATTTCCTATTACAAAAACTGGTTATAGTCAGTTAATATAACTTTTTATTAGTAAACTTATTATAAAGGTAATAATTTAGGCCACGCAATTTTAAAATATAGAAAAGTAATTTTCCTCACTTTTTTTGTTACATATCCTTTGACTCATATTGTAGGTACGTGGTTTAAGAACAATATTTATATTTTAAAATCATTTCAGGTCTACTATTAACATGTGATAAAAAAACTAGATAAAATTTTTTTAAAAAAGTTTTTAACTTACCCCATTTTAAATGCAATAACCACTAGTTTTTCAATAAATAAAGGCTAATTCCCATGCAAAAGGTAAAATCAAAACTACATATTCAGTAATTTGTGACTCTCCTGTAACTAATAATAATTTACGATATGTTTGGCTAATAATATTGTTTAAATCATTATTATGCACTGTAATATTCTTGAAACATCTGTAATCAAAGTATTTTGTTGAGAAGTGCGATACCTCTTTAAAACACTCCACATATCAAAAACTAGTCATAGAATAGGATTTGGTCCATAGACGCTTTTGTTCAGAAGGTCGAGTGATAAAACATATCAAATTTAGCAGATTCAAATGAAAACCATTTGCCGTAAAAAATATAAGGGGTTCTTTGTCTACATTTTTTTTTAAGTAATCTCATGATCATCATCTATAATTTCATAAAGCACCTCTTGTGTTGTATTCAGTTTTATTACACTCTTTTCTTTTCGTTCTTCTAACTGTTTTGTTTTCTTAAAATACTTTAGCTGTAAAACAAGAATAAATATAACTAAAACTAATGACACTGTCGACACAACAATTACAATAACTTCTAAAACATATTCTTGGTTTGATGAAAATATTGCATTATTTTGCAAAGGACTGGATCTTACAATACATTTTTTTTCTTGTAAATCAAAAGTATTCACAAAATGTTTGGAAGTCAAGAATGATTCGTGATGACCAGAAGAATTTTCTTTAGAAATATCTTCAATTTCAAATTCTTCGTTATCAGTAAACCATGTTTTGGAATAATTATCTTTTTTTAATAACTGTAGAAAATAATCGTTATTTTTGTACTTAAAACTGATGAATTTCATAATAGAATCAATACTTAATGTCCATTCTTCTATTAAGCCTTTAAACAATACTGGACCAGTTAGAGATTCATTTTTCCATACTACCCATGCTTCGTGTTGCTTATCCCAACATATTTCTGGAGAAAATAAACATTCTTCGCTTCCTGGTAATTTTAAAATATTTTTTCCTCTTTTCACTGTGCATTTTGTTTCATACAGTGTAACAGAATAATAAGTCATCCATGCTGGCAGGGCAATATTCATATTAAAGTTATTTGTGCAATTTCTATCATATTGGTTGCATTTAGACTCAAAAATCTTTCCAGTATTCCTTGATACTTTAGGACACTTTTTATTTGTTTGATTTTCGCACAAATAATAGCAAGTAATATTATATGCAGTACTGAAAATTCTATAGTTTTTTTTAATATACTCAACTTTTATATACTCTTTACTGATCACTGATTTTTCGAAAAATATTGCACAAGTTATTAGTATTATCAGTTGTTTCATTGTGTCACATACCGCTTAAATTAACTCTTAACATTTAAATGAATACTTAATACCTATCTTCAAGTTTATTTTTAAAAACTAAACCGCAGTTTGAAAATTCCAATAGATAAGAGTGGATTTGGCACAGGAAGCCCATTAAAAGCTAATTTTATACAGTGTGAAAGAACTATACGAGCATTTTTTTAATTTCAATTTTATTTTGTCTATGTCTTTTATTTATATATTTTTGATTTTAAGAACTTCGGTTCCTCAGACTACTTGATTAAAGTGGGTGGGTAAATGTAAACACACGTAAATAAGACACTTTACAGATACATACCAAATTATATTGTGCAACATTTGCAGAACAAATTTAATTTCTAAGGCATAAGTGTCACAATTCAAACAACTGAGAAAGTGCATGCATGGCAAACCATACTTTTCTTCTACAACCACATTTTTTACTAAAAATAAAATCGTAATTAAGTTTATTTTCAATCAAATAATATAAGTTGCAGGTTTATTTAGTTGACACTACTAATTTTTTAAAATTTGTGAAAAAGTCATTACAAAAAATCACTTTCTGAAATAAATATAAAAAAGTAGGTATTTGTGTATCAAGATCGTAAAGTTAACCTTTTTTTGACAGAGTCAGAAATTTTGCAACTGAGGCCAAACATCATCTGATTGGACCGAAGAAGATCATGCATACACATTTCGACAATTGACATAACAGGAGCCATGAAAATAAGACCAACCAAAGCCATAGAAGTCATTATTAGTCTTAAGTGTAAGGTCCTTTATTTCTCACAAGTCAATTTAATTGGCGACCGGTTTCGAAGCTGTCACTTCATCATCAGGCACATCTAAATGGAATGTCAAGGAGTCAGTTGTAATAAAAAACAATTATAAAAGCATGAACGGACTTTAACATATACAAAATAACAGAAAAAACAGAAAAAACACAAAAGAAGTTAAACAATAACCTTAACTCACCTTGACTATTTCCATAAAGGAAGCGCTACTAAAAGTTTAACAAAACGAGTTAAAAAAGTCATATGTAATACAATAGTATTTTTTAAAAATATTGTAGGTTAGGTTAAACCGCGAGATGTCTGTTTGAATAAATTAATTAAAACACATGTAAGACTATTATTAACTAAACAACACAAAATAGTTTTTACAAGCACAAACAGTTTAAAAATTTTTAAGGATATAACGTCAATTAATAAAAGTAAAAAGTAAAAATTATCAGACTCTCAAGACATCTATCTAGATTTTTTAACGAATCAATGTAGTAAACTGTAAATTTTAAATTTAGCGGATAAATAGTGTACTAACAAAGGTGTTATTTACTGAAAGTGAGTATAGGGGGCGGTGACAAAATTTATTGAAAGTAAAAATATTAAACTGGGAAATGAGAAAGCAAAAAATACTAACAAGAAAATTAGAACAAAAGAAAAATTACTGTTACAGGAAACGGAAACTAAGTTGACAAGTACGAATGTCAAAAAAAGGGGGAAGGTCAAATTTTGGCGTATGACAACCACGTGGGAGAATTTGAATAAACTAATAAAACATTTAATAAGATGCGAGTGGGCAAAAAATTAATGGAAACAGAGAAGAGAATCTAAATTGGGAGAGTTAATTAATTTGTGGTAAGTAACTGATTGAAGATCAAATGAGTGGGGGTATAAGTCTGAAATTAATTTAAATAAGCGCAGAGAACGTTGGGGTACTAATAAATTGAATTTGTGCATTCAGAGAGCAGGAGGGGCTAGATTTAATATTTTTTAAAATATCCAGGTTCTCAAAGTTATTCAGAAGGAATTTATTAGAAGTCATATGCAAAATGTCGAAGCCAATGCTAGAATCAAAATCGTGACCAGTGTCCCTACTACTCACATATGGCTACCCTCACTCCAAATCATTAGTCTCACTCATCTTGCCGTTTAGGTTGCTTTGATGACCATGACACGACTCCGCACGGTTGGAATAGAACCTGCTGTAGGATCTAATGAGGCGAGTCATCGATTTTGGCAGGAGGCACTTAATACGCTTTCTTTGCTTCAAGCGAACATAGGACTCCATCTCACCGAGATATATCTTCCATAAGCCTTATAAAGAACGAAACAAATAGAAGAACCGGAAGTGGCAGGTACGATTCATATCCACACCGACGATTCTAAAACAAAACAAGGTCCATAATGTGAAATATACTCCAGGGGCCCTATCCTCGGCTATCGTTTTCTAAAAAAACGTATACGCTTTAGCAACATACGAGCTATTCGCTATTCTCGACATTCGTTTTACAGCGAGTGGAATTTTTCACACGTTTTTGATAAAACGTGCATGTTTTCAAGGATTTAGTCAATGTCATTTATTCGCTCCGTGCGCGATAGCAGCGCCAATTTGTTTTGGTATTAAAGGAGTATTTCTGCCTATACTGACAAATACAATTTTTAATAGAATTCGTAAATAAAAAGTATATATGTTAGTTTTAATAAAAGTATATGGATTTATAAAACAATTAAAACATTAATTTATTATTATTATATATTTTTCACGCTTAAATTGAAGAAAATTATGTATAATCATTAAAAATCAATAATAAAATATAGGCAGGCAACAGTATTTACTGGAAAATGTATGAGAAGTTGCCTAAGTCTAATAAGTTGTCATTGAAGAAACCATTTATAATAACGTGAAGTTAAAATGTATAAAAAGGATCGCTACTTATATTTTCATTTTTGTTCTAAAGAAAACATAGAATGAATGATTAAAACTGGTTTCCGATCAGTAAGTCACAAAATTGCATACCAGCCAAATATTATAATCAACGGCAGAAATCTTGAAATCTAGTCCTTGCTGAATGAACATTTAAGAATAAAGGGATATTAAAGAACATCGTAAAATGATAATTTATTGTTTATTTAAAAACTTTCTAGTTTCTGATGTCTACTATTTCCAGCATTACTGTTATTATCACAAAAATAAAGGTAATTTTTCTTCTTAGTGTACACCTATCCATTTATTTCTTTGATTTAATTTTCACTTTGTTAGTGAAATTTGTTATATAAGTTTCACTGTTTTTTTTGCTAGTATTTGTACAATTTTCAACACAGCAACTCCGGTTGCTAATTGTGTTGTTTTTACCTACTTTTTTGAAAAAAAGTAAAATGTATACGTGTATTTGATATGCCAAAATTACAAAATATCCCCCTAAAATGCACGAATTATCCGCAGCTAGCGCTAGTATCGCTTTTGCTTCCCTTTCCATGACTTCGTACGGAGCGAATATGTCACTTTTAGGATGATTAATAATATTGATTGATTTAAACAAATGCTTGGTAAACTACTTTTTATTAATACCTACAAAAGTATCTAGTTTCTTATAAATATGGTTTGCAGTACTAAAAAAGTCCAATAGCTGAGAATTTCTTTCAATTATGATATCAATAATTGTACAATTAGAAAAGTTGGAAGATAAGAATGCTTAAAGATTCAGACTTGCAGAGGCAGAATCCATTTTTTGATTTTAATTGATATTGAATGAATGTTTTTTATATCTTACCGTGTAAGAATTTAATTATTAATTTATGTATGTTTTATTTACAAATGTTAATTTGCTTGCGGTTTCTTACAAGTGGTAGTTCAAAGCTCTTTTGTATCACACGTTGTGTCCAGAAATTTTTACAATTTTGTAAAATTGCCACAAAATATTAAAGAACTGAATAAGATAAGCACAGTTATTAGTTAAATGAATTTTGTACCATAAAAACTAGGTTTTTATGATGTACGATTTTCCTAGAATTATAGGTTGCATTAACTGCACCCGTATAGCTATTTTTACGCCACCAATTAACGATTCAGTTTATCCTGAACATCGATATATTATGTGATTAGAAAAAATCATCATTCGACAAATTTTCAATTGGTTTGTTGTAATTAAATTACATAATCCTTATTCTTTTATGGCCTGCACATTACTTGAATTCAACGATATAGACAGTTTACAGTGATGCCAGACATATTATTTGCTTGTTAAAAACGTACACGTTTTAAAAAACGAATACTCATCGAACGTCAGTCAAGAATATAGATTTCAAAAACTACTCGCTTTTCAACCACTTACTTTCGAAAACGGTTCGTTTTTTTAGCGATTGTCGAGGATAGCCGCCCAGATCCTTAAGCCTATACATAAAATGGGCTGCGAGCAATAGTGCCCGTGTAGTTCAAACCGAGCTCACGGGGATTCTCATAGCAGCAAAAAGTGTTACTAGAAACAATATCACTGGAAGGAACATGCTCATCTATACAGATAGCAGACAAGCACTACTCAGCATGGACAGATAACGAATTTACTCAGGGTTACTACTAGAATGTGACAATGTGACCTCCTTAAAATGGATCAAAGGTCATGCCACATCGAAAGGTAACATTCACTGGCGAAGAAAGCAGCCAACCAAATACTTTTTGGACCTGGCTTTTCTATTGGCCTGACAAAATTGGTAGTGACAGAACTAACTAAAGAACATTCTCTTGTGAAATTCAAGAAAAGATTGGATGCAACAAGAAACTGCAAAGTTGCCAGGCAATTTATATTTCTGAGGCCCTATCCTCGGCAATCGTTTTCTAAAAAACGTATACGCTTTAGCAACATGCGAGCTATTCGCTATTCTCGACATTCGTTTTAAAAGTGTGTACGTTTTTAAAACGGGTGTTTTACAGCGAACGGAATTTTTCATACGTTTGTGATAAAACGTGCATGTTTTCAAGGATTTAGTCAATGTCACTTATATGTCATTTTTGGATGATTAATATTATTGATTGATTTCAACAAATTTTACTTTTTATTAATACCTACAAAAATATCTAATTTTTTATAAATATGGTTTGCAGTACTAAAAAAGTTTAATAGCTGAGAATTTCTTTCAATTAATACAATAATTAGTACAATTAGAAAACTTGGAAGATAAGAATGCTAAAAGCAGAGATTTACCTAACTTGAAGCCATTTCA